AATGAATAAATCAAATGCAATTCAGTACACTTCAATCAAACCGCGATATGGACTAGTGTATGTGAATATTAAATGGCAAAAATACTATTGCGAACCTACAGACGACAACCGCGAGCGTTGCGCATGCTTAAATAGTAAACGAAACGCGCGTCTGCGCTGTTCATTCCGTCACATTCTGCGTTACACAGTAAATTCCGTTTTTATGAATAGATTCTGGGATTCCGTCCCAATTTTCTACATCGCCCTACTTTTGCTAAGAAGCACGGACGCACAGACGGTTGTCGTGGTAATGAACACCACAGCAGCCACGTGTGCGAATGCACTGAAGCGCATCTCGCATATAAAAAGCATTTTAGGGGGCCCTTGGCTTTTGGGGGCCCAAGGCGGTCGCCTACCTTTGCCTAATGGTTAAGTTCGCCTCTGTCTGGGGGTTTGGCAAAAGGAGAGTGGGACTGTGGGCAGTGCTCAGGGTGGTGACTGAGTAGTTCTGATGTCACCATTTTACGGAAGTCACAACGTTTCGTGAAAAATCACAGCTACTTTATGCAGGCTGTGTGCATTTTACTGTGGATTGACTGTTTTGAAACTTATATGGTAGTTACATAGCACCTACACCTCAGTTATCATGAAAAAAGCCAGAAAGTTTCAGTTTTGACAATATGGGACCTTTAAGGTCTCAAAACAAAATGTAGGATGAAAACACTCAATTAAACCCTCAACATGTTGAACAAAACAACTGTCATTTATTATTCAAGAAGGCACTGTTGTGGTTAGAATAAAGGAGGCCTTTTCAGAGGTTGCATAACAGGTTATATGGAGAAAGTAATCATTAATGAGTATAACACTTTCTACACTGCACACCTGGTATGTGCAAATACTGATGTGCAGAGTGTTGCTTCAGACCATGGCTGCTGTGTTGTTGTAATTGAGAGGGCTAGACACAGAAACAGGATCTTGCCTTTGTGCTATGTCAACAGCTTTGGAATAATTGCATGTGTAGGAGGGAGGATGAGCAGGTATGCTGTGCATGTTTACTTGTTTCGATTCTCATTCTTGGTCAAGTCCTTAGATTCTGACTTTTTATCCTGATCAGTAGCGGTAGAGGAACTCTAAATCTGTTCTTAGAGAGTCAGTAATAGACTGAAAGGAAGATGTTAACATCATTGTGGGGGATTTATTATGTCAGTTTTAATTAATATGATGATAA